AATAATAATAATAATAATAATAGTAATAATAATAAATAATAATAAATAATAATAATAATAATAATAATAATAATAATAATAATAATAATAATAATAATAATAATAGTTCAATGAGACTATTTAAAAATAATTTGCGTTCTGTTATGACAAATGCTCGTTTGGATAGCCTCGTGATGCTTTGAATACATCGTAATAGGGGAAGCAACCTCGACCTTGACAGTGTTGACAAATGCAAAATTTCCAAAGTGTAGAATTTCATTTTCAAGAATGAGGATTTGAAAATAAAAATTAGATGGTTACATTGCATACTCTTTGTTTCTTGTTTTATCCAAAATGTTTTGGTTTTGGAAGATGATTTTGACATTAGAAAACATAGCCTACAAGTCATGTTATAGTAGCTCGATGCCTATCAAATAATAATAATTCACCATAATTCGTCAAATATCCTTGACCCCACCGGGGCCCTAGGCGACCCCCTGGCCCCCAGCCAAGTAAGACTCGAATCGCTCCACTAGGCACCCCCCCCCCCGTCGGGGCCTTTAGCCCCTCCGTCGGGCAGGTCCTGGCGCCATCACTGCCTGATTTTAACGATTCCTCAATTAATCTCTTTTAACTGGCAGGCATCTGCTATTTACCAATATGATGGTTTAAGTAAAACAGTGTTTCCCTTCACAGTGGACATTTCCTTGTGTTTTACAGCAATTTTGTGGTTGCATAAACAGTTTAACTGAAGTTTCGATGTTTTTTTTGGCTAAAAAATACTCATAGTCAGATGTTTATAAGCTTGGTTTTCTTCCTTCACAGAACCACATCTCTAGTTCCCGGTAATACCGGAGTTGCTCTCCGCAGGGTACGACTGCAACACTTAGTCAACAACATAAAGGCCCGCGGTGTTCACAGAAACAAAGATGGTGGATTTCACATCACGTTCGAAAACGACCAACTAAAACAAATTTCACTTAACAAGCCATCAGCACAGCTCATCGTGTATCCTGCAACAAGTGACTTTTTTTCCTACGACACTGTACCTTTTCCGGATATCTTTGACAACGTCTTACCGGATACACCGCATGCGCGACAATTACCCGATGATCTGCGCCGCATCCTCAACTGGGCTTCTCCAACCATCTCTGTCAAACAACTTCAGCAACAAATTTTCTTTCATCTAGCACACATGTACAAAATTTTGAGAAATGAGCCCATGACACTGCTTCCTGGTCGAGTGAATGGAAGTACTTCAGCCGATGATTATTCGTGGGGTCACTTAGCTGATACAATTAATAAGTATACTGAGCATGCTGATAAATTTCACCGATTAATGCTGTTTAAGTATGGCAATGTATTAACCGGATACGAAATGAAATTCATCGACGTAGTACCACAGCTACTGGAAAGGTATCCTTTTCACTCTGTCATGAGGCTTTCGACAGAACAAGGAGAGCGAACGCACTATATGGACATGTGTCGATTTTATCAACATTCGACACGCGGTGGTGGATCGACCAAACAGGATCCAATTTCAAAATTGTTTGAATGGCAATGGCGTATGGTCCACCATCGTATTCGAGAATGTCCAGTGGAAGTGCGGAATCGTTTTGAACAGTTCATCGCAACCAAAATGCGTCCGCCAGTTGAAGAACTGGATAATGATGGAGATGCGAGACTAGTGCATGAGAACACCATACCAAAGGCCCTGGAAGGAAGAAGCATCGTCATAGTAGGAAGACTTTATAAACAACATGAATCAATAAAGGACCTAATCCGTGAAAATGGAGGAAGCGTTTGGTGGAGAGGATTGCCAAAGGATAATATACCTTTGCCGCAATTTCTAGTAATAACAACGCAAGCTGAATGTGATAAGGATCCTCCTAAAGTTGTCACGGTGTTAGCTGAGTGCTTCAGAAGAGGTGTTGAAATACTAAGTGATGCACTACTTAGAAGTCTGGAAAATGGTACATTTACATCACTAGAGAACTACAAGCTAGATCTAAATAGTCTGAAAAATGCTCCATACACAACAATCCAGTCTGTGGCACCTGATAACAGTATTAACAACTACAACAGGTAAGCCTATGCTGAACTATTAGATACAATTTTCTATTGCTTCACAAATTGATTTGTACCAAATATATTCGCTAATACTAATCAGCACCACACCCCACCCCCGCCAACAAACGCACTGGCCTTCCAACTTTCTGACTGAAACGATTACTAAGGTACACGCTCTGCTTTCTATCATTACCGTATATCTCATTGTGTAGTCGTTCTTTACATGCATTGGACATTTCTGGATCCGCCCCTGTATTATCATCATCATCATCATCATCATCATCATCGTCGTCGTCATCGTCATTATTATTATTATTATTATTATTATTATTATTATTATTATTATTATTATTATTATTATTATTATTTATTTATTTATTTATCATCATCATCATCATCATCACCATCATCATCATCATCATCGTCATCATCGTCATTATTATTACAACGAATGTGAATCCTTCATAAGTAAATATTACAATTTTTTTTCAACAGCAAAGGTCCGAGTGCATACTGTATGCTAAAACGAAAAGAACGACAAGACAGACAGCCTTTGCAACTGATTTGTCAAAATGCACAAACGAAAAGGAAACACCGAAAATCAAACCAGGTTAAACGTAAAAGACTGTCAGGACATAATTTATTCACCCGTTCTAGCATGGCTCAGGTAAATAATTAAACATTTTGTATAGGATATAGGCTTAAAAAAAACCCCCTACTTTTTTTCTATTCTTTTATTATCATTATTATTACGCTCAACAAATTGTTTTGTCATTGTTTCTTCTAATTAAAGATAATGCATGACCAGCCAGAACTACACTGCCCTGCTCTGAGAAAAGGCATTAAGTACATTTTTTTCAAAATTGAGATTTTTAGCTTATGTGACTCTTGAATGTCTAATCTATCACCATATTTTATCAAATTCCCAAAAATATGTCTGGAAATATGAATTTTTTTTTTTTAATTGGGCATTATCTGCAAATTTCACTATAAATACTCTGGGAAAAGGCATTATGTGCGCGAAGCCTTACATACATGTATTGAACGCTTGACTTCACGCAAGACAGATAGTAAGTATCCAATCAGATGCTAGTATAACGAATATCTAACTAATTAGCTTGGAATCCTTAGCAAATAATGCCTAGTTAGTAACTGCTTTATTTCGAAGAATACTCTGAGAAAGTGCATTATCTGCTTTAAATTTTACGGCGTTTATTTATAATTCTGTGATTAATGAGATACTTTTGCCGAAATGATGCAAGTTACAGCGCAAGACATTTTTTAGAAGTCTTTTGGAAGAGTAAGTACAATATTGTATTTTATTATGTTTCATACCTATTAAGTATTAAATTTAGATTATTATTATTATAGTAGTATTAATTTTCGTTTTATCGACATTGTATGTTTTGTATTGTGTTTATTATTATTATTATTATTATTATTGTTATTATTATTATTATTAGTATTATTATTATTATTATTATTATTATTATTATTATTATTATTATTATTATTATTATTATTATTATCACTGTTATTGTTACTATGATAATTATTATTACTCTTTCAGGCAACCAAGTGGTAAACCAAAAATGGACAGACACAATTTTCGCCACCGAGATTGTGCTCCACTTCGAGGAAGGGACATTGAGTAATGCAATTGTGAAAGAAAAAGTGTAAATAACTATTTTAAAAAATTGTAAAAGTCGGATCAGTGTAATAAAACTTTTACAATGTTTTGCACTCATTTGTATAACCTATGTTGTATTGTATCATTATCATTGTAAAGATAATAGTTGCAATGTATATTATAACTTAATAAATATAAATTAATTAATCTTATAATTATTTAAAATTAGCACACCATTTTTATATATATTTTTCTACATGTTATTGTTAAGTAACAAGTTATTATCAATAACCTTTGAATTTGAAATTATAATGCTTTGTCTATTTTATTATTAGTCGATCGATTTATTATGATAGGCCTATTCTAATTATCAATCGATAATGGTAATGATTATGATGATGATGATGATGGTGTGGATGATGATAATTAAGAGGATGAAGAGATGTAAAAATATGATGCATGCTAATTACCGAACCATAAATAAAATACGTTTAAAATAATTTCACTATATCCTACCTCACCCCCATCACAACACCGGCTCCTTCACCCTCCCCTCTGCGCATTTTCGTCTTTTACACAATTAAATTCCTTATTTTATAATGTCCGAGTTCTATCCTTATCATCTAGATAGTTGCATTCAATAGATTGCTTATTCAAAATAACAATCTATTGATTGACTGTAGCTTACGTTGTAAGTACTGTAAGTTTACTTTTGCCGTGAATTTGTAGATGATCGGACCCGAAAGGCGGGTTACTAAACTTGTATACAATTTTGTGGTTCCACAGATACAATTAGAACTTCGACAACGAAGTAAATATGTCTCCAATGTCTCAGTTCCAGATAGGCCAAGAAGTAGAAGTCTTAGATGATGAGACTGGTGTCTGGAGAGCTGCCACAATCACTGGAATAAACCTTTCTACAAATGGTAATCGTTACGGTGTACATTATCGAGGATGGCAGCCAAAACACGATACTTTTAAATTTCAAGATTGCATTCGAAACGCTACACAAGTGGAGAATTTGGGAAAGCGACAACCAAAGAGGAAGAGTCTGAGTGAGCTCCCTAGTTCTTATAAGCGACTTCACACAATTAAGCCTGAACATCTGACGGAAGGTGATGTTGTTTATTTCATGATAGGTTCAGAACAATATCAAGGTAATGTTATTGTTAACGACCCGTTTCTGAAAACATTGAATGTGTCATATGACACTAGTAGAGGCTCCGGAGATGTTAATATTGTTGATGTAACTATCGGATATAGTGACGTTGTCGATTTCAAAGAACAGGATAGGGCTAACCCCGAACAACCGAAAGCCAAATTAAGCACTGCACGGAAGCCAAAAAGATGTAATCGTGTTGGTAAAACAAACCATATCTGGACAGACAACACATGTTCGACAGATAGTGCAAATATCCCAAATAATAATCATGAAGAGGAAATTACACACTGTATTTTTAAGGACGAAATAGTTTCAATCGGCTCGTTCCTTGCAACCACAGATAATGATATACACCACTTTGTAACCTCTATGGTAATAGGAAGTAACGGGTCTATTAAGGCGACAGGATACAAAGTAAGAAAACTGGGCACAGACAACTTATTGATGATAGGCTCATTCAGCAATGGTCTTGATAACCCAAAGATAATTAAACCTAAACTAAATGCTAAATGGATTGAACGCCGGCGCAGTACGCAACGAGCAGCAGAAGAACGCGTGAAAACGCTTTTGTCAGTAAAAACGTCAACGTATGAGCAACGGAAAGCTTCATTAAGGACGTCGATACGGCAGGAAGTTCAACGGAGCTTGTCATCCAAGAAGCGTCAAGCACGATTCCGCGTCTTGTACGAGCAAGGCATTGATGCCAAATTATTTGGCCTAAATGCCGGCAACATGTTCCGCGAAGAATATTCACCGGAAAGCTTTCATCAACTAGACTCCCTCCTCGGCAGTGGTTGGGACTACCGTATGAAAAAAGACAGCGATAGGTATTCGTTTGTATCGCGTTTCGATATAAAGCTCATTATAGAGGAAAGATGTATGGAAATTGTTGCCCACTTATGCAATATTTCCACACAAGGCTGGAGTGAAGACTATCGTTCTCACGTGTTACAAGAAGTCGTAAATGCAAATCAACCTATTTAAAATCATGACAACTTTAACTGTAAATATTGTATTGTAATGTATTGTTATATATTTTATCGGCAATGTTTTATTTAGTATGTAATTGTTTTTTTTCTTGAAAGTATCCAATTTATTATGCCGTGGCTGGGATACAATACCATACCTTAAGTTTTATTT